ACGCTACATGTCTCAGGCACGGTTATGCTCGTTTAAAAAGGGAATCCGGTTCCGTTTTCTCCGGTGTAATGGTGACGAACTCCATCATGTAATTACGCTTGCTCGAATAATATTTTCATGAAAGACTATCATCTCGGCACTTCCAACCTGCACACCAACGACGAAGAAAAAGCGAGAAACAAACGGAAAGCGAAAGAAAACACATAAAGGACTCCACATAGATGAAAAACACGGAACAAAACACAAAACGAACTAAAACCAACTAAAAGACCTATTGTGAGGGGAAAAAAAATGAAAAATAATAACGAAAAATGCAACAAAAATGGGACAAACATGAACCACTACTGATTCTCTCTTAGAACACCCACAATGCATTGAGTCTCTTAATAAAATATCTTATGCCACATAGGAAATAGACTTAGTCAATTAAAAAATGTCTCTAAATGCAATTAAAGGTGGACATAGTCTAGCTTATGTGGCAATAAAAAAAAGAGACCAAGTCTACACTTTGGTCTATTTTGGACCCAAGTAAAAACCCAAACACTCATCATTTATTCCTCATTTAAATTTCTTTTACTAAGTGAAACATATTAGACTATTTTTATTGGTTGGCATGTATGGTAGACCTAGTATTTTATTTTTACATTGAATAGCTTTTGAGTTTTTTTTACTTGAGTTTGTCCATGTCATTTAGGACTTAAGTCTATTTATATGCCATGTATGTAAAATTAGACCCAATGCATTGTGGGTGCTCTTAAAGAGCAAGAAAAAATATTATAAATTAAAGATGAGAGTAAACGATATTAAATAATAATTACAAATTAACGATGTGGGGTTAACATGTCATATAATTTATGGTATATCAATTTATTATAAACGATATAAAATTAGCGTGTTCAAGAGAACATATAATTAGTATACTTAAACAATTAAAAGCTCTTAAAATATTTTATTAACATATGTAAAATTATCTAAAAAAATTTATATTATTATTAAAAGATGTAAACCTACATTTTCTAAATTATTTTGTAAAGAAACTATATCTAAAAACATTAAAGTTTACATTTGTATGAAAGATGTTTTCTGAATAAGACATGATAAAATATTATAAACCTAAATAAATACATTTTAAAGTTTTTGAAAGAAAATTTACCTAGTATATATAAAATAAATATTGACATGATGCTGAAAATTATAACGATATTACTGTACCTGAAAATTTGAGTATAGAAGATTTCAAAATTATTATTATTATTATTCTTTTGAGTAATTTGAGTACAAAAAATTTTAAAATTATTATTATTATCTTTTAAGTAATTTGAGTACAGAAGTTTCAAAATTGTTATTATTTTTTAGTTATTGTAAAAATTATTATTATTATTATTATTATTATTATTATTATTATTATTATTATTATTATTATTTTACGTAATTTGAGTACAGAAAATTTTAAAATTATTATTATTTTTTAGTTACTGTAAAAAAAAATCTGTCTATTTTCAAAATTATCCACTTGATTTTTGAGAGAATGCATTTGTAATTTGACTTAATTATTGTAGAATTTTAAAACTTATAGAAAAAAATTAAAGGAATGAATTTCAATTGATTTGAAATTTTTAAACCATTTTGAATTTCGTGAAAAAAAAAAAGGAATTTATTATGATTTGTAATTTCCAAGAGGTTTGTTAATTTTAAAGTGGCACAAAATCCTTCATTTAAGGATATGGATAGAAGCATGTGATTAGATATTTTTGAAATTCAATTTGAACAGAATCCTTTATATTAGGAAGAGATTTTGAATTAAACCCAATTTTATGGCAACTAAAATGAGAAGGGATTTTGAATTTCAATTTTTCAATTCAAGTTCTAAGGAAAAATTTTCGGCAATCTGATTGTTTGGAATAAAAAACACAATCGAATTTTTTTAAATCGAATCCAATTTATAGGTAAGTTGTAAATTTTTCTCGTCTATTAAAGAATATATGTGAATAATAAGTATAATTATAAATCTTATATTGTTTCATTAATTAGATGATTTTGTTTTTATATAAAATATTCAAATAAAAAAATTGAAGTGGTTGAGTAATTTATTAAACTATGAATAATTGAGTATTTCATTTACGTCGTCAAAGTTAATGTTGACTCTTAAGTTATGAATAATTACTTATTTGACTTATGATTTGGAACTCAAATTTGGACTACACACTAAATTCCCTTATATATTTGATATATGAATATATTATATATATAATCTTGTAATTTTCTAGAGTTGTTGTCGGTTACCTTATCGTTCAAATTTATCAACTAATTTTCTAGAATTAAATTACAAATGTTTAATTTTAGTAACCAATATTTCTTCAAATCTTATGGTAGCGTATCAATAAAAATAAAATAAATTAGGTAGAAATAAAATAATTGATTGAAAGTTTTTAAAATTTTAATCAATAGATTTAGATCAATTATTGATTTCACATTAACTTAAATAAAAAATTACGTATGCATATAAATTATTCGCACTAAATATTCACTAATAATTACCAAATTATTGCTATTGATTTTTTTGGAAATCAAATAGCCCATCTCAGTTTTTATTTATATACCAAAAATAATTGAAAGAATCCATATAAATAGGCATTCTTTCCCAAAATGAAAAAGGTGTTGTATTGAGATAATTATGAAAAAAAAATATTTTGTATTTTTTATCCAATAAAATTAATTGGAAGAGTCCATATAAATGGGGATTGTTTCCAAACAAATGGGCATTTAGTTAAACTTTTTTTTAATTATGCTAATTTTAATATGTAATTAATGATTTTGGCGGGAAATTGTTTCTAAATTTGTAAAAAGGTTATATAAAACATAAAAGGTTGCATATATTTATTATTGAATGTTATTATAGATGAAATATATAAACTTATTGACGAGAACATTATGTTAGAGAAAATTTAATTTGTATTTTGACTTACTGAATATTGGTTTTAATTTAAAAAAAATAAGTCCTTTTTATATATATAAAGTAGAATAATAGTCTTTTTAAAACACAACAATATCATCTCTAACTTTTTTAGTTGGAACAAATTAAATAAAATTTCACAATCTGTTAGGACTAAGAGGGTGAATTGAAAAATAATATTTATAAATATTTTTCAAAAATGGAGCACGTTATTTTTTGGAACTAAATTTACATGCTTTAAAATTTATAATTTATAAACATTATATTTAATTTAACATTTATTGTGCAATTAAAATTGATGTGAATTTGTGTTCAATAGTAAATAAATTTTATATTAAAAAAACTATCAGAATCTATTCATCAAATTACATGTATGTTGGAGTAAAAATTATCTGCTATAGTTGTCTTTACTTTGTCAATGAAATTTTATTTAAATAATTCAATATTTTTGCAGCGAAAATCTCAATACATATTTCAAGAAGTTTAATTAGCTTCCGTTTATAAATAATTTTCAGTCTAAATAGCTCGATATGTTATTGACTTGATGAATAATGGCGATATTGAAGAATTTTTCTTAATTCAACAAAAGAATTAAGAACACAATTTTAATGTATAAAAGGTGAAATTCTCGCGGATTTTTTTTGTTCTACAATTATCCTTGACGTTTTCCAATTCAAGGCTACTATTTAAATTCCAACAATGATAATTATTATTATGTTGTCCTAGGCAATGTGAATTGATCAAAGTCAACTATTGTTGTTATATGTGATATTGTTGCTGAAAAAAAATATGCGCTTAGTTATAATAGTAGCATATTGTTGTTTCTAGAGTTATAAACGAAAGATTTTATATTTTCAGTGGCAATAGTGATCATAATAAACTCAATTCGCTTACAACTAATGTTATATATATATTTATTCAAATGTCTAATAAGTGACATTATTGTAAATAAATTGTAATTTATTTAAATTATAATTCATCAATATATTTAACATCATACTGCGCAACACGCTCGTGCCGTACTAGTTTGTGTTAAATTAGATGTAAAAGGATTTCATGTCATGAATGCACAAATTCTACAAATTTGTGCATAAACGGACTGAACTGGGTTCGAGTTTCTAATACTCGAGCTCGAGCTTTTTTTGGTCCGGAGCTAAGAGAATTTGGGTTGGGCTTTATTCGGTCTGGTTTGCCGGATGATGTGGCCCAATCTATTTAAATCTACCATGATGTTCTGGATCCAATTTATCATACAATTTGGGCCATAAACGAAACTGGGCCTTAGCATGATCTCATTTTGACGGTTTAACATGCAACGTAATGGACCCATAAAATTAGAACGTGTGAGAGAGAAACAAATGTGATTTTTTTTTTTTTTTCAATTAAAATAAAACCCTAAGAGAGAAACCTAGGGTTTAAGTTCACAGGTCGTCACTGCTCGGAACCGCACTAATGGCTGACGAGTTGACTCCCGAGGTCCCGATGGAAAACAAAAAACCAGAAGGCACCACTGATCCGGTGCCGGAGGCGGAGAGTTCCGGCGACGACGTCTCAAAGCGTGCCAGGGAGGAAGATGAGGCGGCGGATGAAAATGGAGAGAAAAAGGCGAAAATCGAGGGCGACAAGTCCGAAGATGGTGATGAGAAAATAGAGGAGGATGGGACGGAATCAAGCGGCGCCTCCGTCGGTCCGAAAACGTTCGGGTCGTCCGTTGAGATTTTCGATTACTTCTTTAAGCTTCTTCATGCCTGGCCAACTAATCTCGACATTAACAAGGTAAATTTGACGTCTGAGGTTTTGTTATGTTTGCGATGCTGTGTTTTCTGGTTGGAGTTTTGTGATTGAAGTTGAGGTTCTGAATAGAGTGGTGGTTGGGATTCAATTGGGTGCAAATGCAATATATATGCTCTGCATGTTGAATGCTTTTCATATTTGGGGTATCTCTTTAATTATTTATTTATTTGGTGAAATATCATAAAAATAAAATAAAGTTTCATTCAACAGGAATGAGAAAGTGCAAATGAATGTGAGGGTATTGCCAAATTACAATCTTTTCACCCTCTATTTGTTGTCGCTGTTGTTTTGGTATTTTTAGCCGAAACAAAGACAAAAGATGGGTATTTTTACAAATTTCCAAATGAATGGCCATGGATATCTTCAACTATTAGTATCTTTTAGGGAGATTCTTTGGGGAACTTTGGAGGAAAAACTAACTTCTTGAATAACTAGGTCCTTTGATGCCTGATTTTCTGTGAAAATTTTGTGAAAATTCAAAATTCATGGAAATGTACCTTGTTTGGAACGACAATTTAGTGTGGAGATGTTCATTGTCTACATTGTTCTTTGCGTTCAGTTAAACACACATGTTGTTGGAGTATAGAGTAAAGACTGCACTATGATGTTGTTTTTGCTGATTTGGTTGAATGCTGACCTGTTAATAGAAACTTTTAATTAGTATAGGTTCTTATGTCTTGTTTGCTAGTGTGTTTACAATTGTGAGGATGAGGAATCCAAACTACAGTGTAAAAGTTTTTTCCTTGCTAGAACTAATGAAACCAAACACAATAATAGTAATGTACTTATTTATTGAACGGACCTAATCTAAAAATTAACTACTTGCACCTGGGTTACCTGATTACGCAATTTTTAAGCCCAAAGGAATTTGATTATGCCACCCAGAAGTACAAATGAACCCATTTGTTAGATTTTACACCTGGATCTCTATCTCTTGTTTGTTGTTTTTTCTGATCTTAACTGTCCATTCTAAGTCTGCTTCTATGTAGACTGATGCAAGCTCACTCTTATCTTATATTTCTTGGTTACATGTAGTATGAGCACTTAATGCTGCTAGCACTCCTCAAGAAAGGCCACTCAGATCCAGATAGAAAGATCGGGAACGGGATTAAAGCCTTCCAAGTTCGTTTTCACCCTCAGTTTAAGAGCCGCTGTTTTTTCCTCACGAGAGAAGATGGATCGACTGATGATTTTAGCTTCAGAAAGTGTGTGGATCAGATTTTGCCTTTGCCCGAAAATATGCAGATAAAAGACGATGTCAATAAGGCATTGCGTGGGAAGGGAGGAGGCCGTGGGCGTGGTCGTGGGCGTGGCCAAGGTGGGAAATGAAAAGGAAAAGAGAGAGAGAGAGAGAGAGAGAGAGAAGGAGAGAGAGGAATTCGCGTAGATTCTGTTTTATTTCTGTGTTGAACTTTCTTGAAACTTATTTTAGTTATGTGGTATTGTGTTTGATTTGGAACTCTTTTTTTTTTTTTTT